GATAATCACTGATTTCCCCCCTTTTGTAAACTGCACCTCCACTTTGAAAGGGGATAAAAACCCAATTAAACTATCATTCTAAGGAAGCAGAGCAACCTGGTATCCAGAAAGATTGTGAGACATTCTAGGACCAAATGCACTATTTTCTAGTTAATATACCGCAGTTCCAGACCGTTAGTGCAGGTACGTTAGGGTTCATTAAAATCAGAAGAGATGGCCAAATGCCTGTTTTCAAGCAAAGCAAAGAAGATGGCATTTCTTGGTCCCTTTGTTAGGGCAGAGCGAGTGTCTCAGTGGCACTTCAGAACAAAGCTTCCCAGCCTACAGGGACAGTCGGCCCATTATTGTACTGCACTTGTCACTGCCTGCTTAATGAACCAGTCACTGGTGATTTAGCAGCAAAGAATTAACCCAGCCTACATCACGTAATGATAGTTGCTGCTCGCACAAAACCAGAAATGAAACCACCTCGCTGCTCCTGCCCCGCGGGATGCTAATGAAGAGAAAGCAGCACCCTTGCAACGAGGACAGCCGACCTGCGCAAACTAAACCGAGGCCGCCTAGGGAGGCCCCCGCTGCCCAGGGCAACAGAAGCCCTCCAAACCCACCATCAGGGACACCTGCTCAGCTGTGTCCATCCACAATTCCACGAGTAACTGTTTCTTCCCACAGAAATCACACTTAAGTGGCCCTAATCGTCCATTTCCTCTTCCCCACTTCTGTTTTTCATCCAAATTCTAACCTTTTAAAACACAATTTTTGTATACCCTTAATCATTCAAGTCAGTTTTTTAGAGGGAAGAGGGCCCCCCTTTTTTTTCATTTGTGGAAACAACAGATTGCCCGCCAGTCCCCAGAAGCACAGCACAGCACAGCACAGCAGGGCCCAGCCTGCAGACTGCTGTCAGGATCCCCAGTTCACAGCCCACCCAGGATCACAGGAAGGAAAGGAGCTGGTGGTCGCCCAGCCCTGCCGGAGCGGAAGGGGAGCAGGGGGCCTGGAACTCATGCTCCTGTCCAGCGCTCGTCTGCCCTCCCCTGACAGCCAGGAGTATGACCCAACACCCAAGACTTAGTTGAACCTGTTCTTTCCTGATCCTGCCAGGACGCACGCTGGCTGTGGAGTTCTTCCCCCAGGTCTCTCAGTTACAGCTGGGGTGGAGGCTAATGAAAATGCAAGCGATCAGTCCAGAGCCAAGAACAGAGGCTGAGTGACCAGAAGTAACCCAGGCGGGAAGATTTCTGATAATTTACCATACCGTACTTGCTCTGCAACCAGAGAGATAGAAAGAACGAAACGAAAGCACTGAAACACTCCAGCTGCTGGGACCTGAGCCGATCTCTAGCTCTGACGGTTTTGTTTTTAAGATGGAAGGGGGCACAGACACAGGTACAGGAAGCCATGACAGGGAACACGGAGCACTGAGAGGTAAGAGATACCCACCTGAATCTGACTCCTATCCAATCTTCTAATGTTTCAAAAATGCCTAAAACACCCCAGTAAATGATGTGCCATTACTCACAACAGATAATGAAAGAACCGTGAAGCATTTCAGATTTGATTTTTCTAGTCCAAGTTGATGCTCCTCCCTTTCCTAAACATTTAAAATGCCTGAGAGGGGCCAGCGTTGAGGAGTTCCAGGTAATGCTGCTGCCTGCTGTGCTGGCATCCCATATGGGCACCAGTTCGAGTCCTGGCTACTCCACTTCCGATCCAGCTCTCTGCTCTGGCCTGGGAAAGCAGTGGAAGATGGCCCAAGTGCTTGGGCCCTGCACCCACACAGGAGACCCTGAAGAAGCTCCTGGCTCCTGGTTTCGGATCAGCGCAGCTCCGGCCGTTGTGGCCATTTGGGGAGTAAACCAGCAAATGGAAGACCTCTCTCTCTCTCTCTCTCTCTCTCTCCCTCCCTCCCTCCCTCCCTCCCTCCCTCTCGGCCTCTGCCTCTGCCTCTGTAACTGCCTTTCAAATAAATAAATCAAACTAAAAACCAAAACAAACAAACAAAAAACCCACAACTCTTGTTTCTCCCTCAAGTCATGCCCTCACTTCGCCATATCTCCCCACCTTCCTGGGGTGTGATGGGAATGTAGCCAGTATGGTGTTCGGGATACCCAGCTGCAAGGCCAATGATAAAGACCGATGCCAGCAATGCTTTAAGAGTCAGGAGGACAAAAAGGGGCTCTGGGTGAGAGTCTAAACAGCACTGTAAGCTTGAGGACATCCTACCCACGGCCAGCAAACTAAAGGTCAAGGGGTGGCCCAGGCAGAGCAGTTACCTGCAGGCAAACCTCCACCTCACGTCTGCTTCAGAAACCTCTCAGGAAAGGCATGTGTGAAGCCCCCACCTCAGAAACAACATCTATGCCAACAACTGCTTATTTGCATTAATCAAGTTTTGGTTTAAAATTCATTTAAATCAGAGGCAAGCATTAGGCCCAGAGGTTAAGACGCTGCTTGGGACGCCTGATCCCATATCAGACAACCTGGGTTTGCATCCCAGCTCAGCTCCCAATTCCACCTTCCTGCTAATGCACACTCTGGACTCAAGTCCCCTGACATCCATGTGGAAGGCCTGGGTTAAGTTCTGGGTTCCTGGCTTTGGTCTGGCCCAGTTCCTGGCCCACTGCAGGCAATTGGGGAGTGAACCAGAGGTTGGAAGATCCCTCTGCCTTTCAAATAAAAATAAATAAAAATTTAAAACTCAGGGCCCGCATTGTGGTGTAGCAGGTAACACTGCTGCCTGCAATGCTGGCATCCCATGTGGCTGCTAGTTGGAGTCCCAGCTGCTCCACTTCCAATCCAGCTGCCTGCTTGTGTTCCTGGGAAAGCAGTGGAAGATGGCCCAAGTGCTTAGGCCCCTGCAACCACACAGAAGACTCAAAAGAAGCTCCTGGCTCCTTGCTTCGGACCAGCCCAGCTCCAGCCATTGCAGCCACTTGGGAAGTGAACCAGCAGATGCAAGATCTCTGTCTCTCCCTCTCTATAACTCTGCCTGTCAAGTAAACAAATAAATACATTTTTTTTGACAGAGTTATAGACAGTGAGAGAAAGAGACAGACAAAAAGGTCTTCCTTCCATTGGTTCACCCCCAAATGGCCGCTACAGCTGGCGCTGCGCCTATCCAAAGCCAGGAGCCAGGTGCTCCCTCCCGGTCTCCCACGAGGGTGTAGGCACCCAAGCACCTGGGCTATCCTCCACTGCCTTCCCGGGCCACAGCAGAGAGCTGGACTGGAAGAGGAGCAGCTGGGACTAGAACCCGGTGCCCATATGGGATGCCGATGCTGCAGACGGAGGATTAACCAACTGAGCCACGGTGCCGGCCCCCAAATAAATACATTTTTTAAAAAAGATTTAAAACTTATTTAAGGGGCTGCCGTGTGCTGTAGCAGGTTAAGCCACCACCTGCCACACAGCACCCCATATGCGCACTGGTTCAACTCCCAGCTGCTGGGCTTCTGATCTAGCCCCCTTGCTAACGCACCTGGGGAAAACAGCAGATAATGGCCCAAGTGCTTGGGCCCCTGCGTCCATGTAGGAGACCCAGATAGAGTTCCTGGCTCCTGGTTTTAGCCTAGCCCAGCCTGGCCCAGCCTGGCCATTGCCGTCATTTGAGTGAACCACCGAATGGAAGATCTCTGTTTCTGTCTCTCTCTCTCCTTCCCTGTAATCCTGCCTTTCAAATAAATAAATCTTAAAAAAAAAAAAAAAAAAAACTCATTTAAATCCTCATGAAGATTTTTTTTTCCCATCAGCCAGTCATACTGACACAAATTCGTTTTATGAGAACTAACGTTCTCCCGAGAGGTATCAAACGCCCGGAATGAGGAGCTAGACATCGAGGGGAAGGAAGTGGGTCCCTCGTGTGGGGGAGGGGAGGTCAAAGAAGCATCACCAAAACACAGTGACTACCGTAGAAGAAAGTTTGTCATCCAGCTTGCTAAGGGCCCTGGAGGCAACAAATCTGCGAGAGACAGCTCTGACACCTTTAACTTGGGGCTCTTGCAGACTGGGAGAGGATTCGCTTCGAAGCTGAACACTGCCTTCCCCGCCAACGAACGTGGAATTATTTGCTCTCCAGCTCACACGCTTTAACTCGAAAATCGAGAATTCCACTGGAAAGCTAGCTTTAAAAACACACACTTTGTTTCAGGCTTGTCCCAAATGGTTTTCATTCAGTTGTCCATGCCAGTTCCCCTGGAGTTGGATCCGTAATACCTCCTTAGTTATTATTAAGTTCAAATTATGCTCGGTACAGCCTATGAACACACAAGTCCCCTGCAGGTGACCAGAGAGGAGTTGTTCGGAGAGCAGGACGCAGCGGTGCCAGTGTCGGCTCTGGTAACGCGCACACACCATCAGCTACCCTCCACCTGCTCGCTTACAAATGCTGGCTGAGGACGCCTCCCTCCCGCGTCCCCCCCACAATCACCAGCTCATCGGTGTCTCTGTTTTGTTTAAAGCTCTGGAGGTTCACACCGAGACGCGGGTTTCACCAACTTCCAGAAGTGGGCGAGCAAACCTCGAACATGCTAATTCACGCGAAGCGCTCCAGCCTGTTTGCTCCCCACACCTCCATCCGGCGCCCGTGCAAGACCTGCCTCCACTCCCGACAGGAACGACTGTGTCCGGGGCCGGTCTGCGCGGCGCCCCTGAGCAGACGGGGAAGGGGAGGCGATGGTCTCAGAGGACCACAGCGCTCCCGAGCTAGGAAGGCGCCCTCGCACAGAGCGAGCGGCTCGAGAGCGTCCCCGCAGCTGCTGCCGGGTGTGCGGGCCGAGGGCGCGGGTGCGGGTCAAGCAGGGGAGACAGCTGGAAGGGCCCCCGGGGGGAACCGGGGCGCCCAAGCCTGGAGGCGGGATGCAGTGGAAGGGGGCGAGGTAGAGAGGCAAGTGCAGAAGGGGCCAGTGCAGCGAGGACAACAGGGCAGGCAAGAGGCAGCGCCCTACGGAAACCTGACGGATTCGCGCCTCGGGGAGTTCCCGAGGGTCCAGTTCTCTCACCAGAAAGCCGCGTTCAGCCCCAGGCACCACAGGGCGCTCCTGGCCGGCCGCTCCCACACCAGGGCTGCCTGCACTCGGCTCAGGAGAGGCTCGTAGGGCCCCAGCACCTCCACCAGGGCCCGTTGCACCGCCTCCACCTGCTGGTCCCGCTCCCAGGAGCCTGACATAGCGCGGCGGCCCCGGAGAGCCGGCCCAGAAGATGGGCCCGGGGCCGCGGCCACCCCCTCTGGCTCCGCCATCTCCCCCCCGGCAGCCACAGCATCCGGGGCCGCGGCCCGACAGTCACAATAACACCGACTGCGCAGACGCGCGCCTTGGCGGCGGAGGCAGGCCTCCGGACCCGCGCGCTTGCGCACAGGCGCCAGCCCGCGCCCGCCGGGAGGCGGGGAGGACGCAGCGTCAGAGCGCGCCGAGCCCGGGCCGGAGCGGCGCACGCGCAGTCTGCTCGGCTGAAGCCAAACGAATAAGGAAGTTCTCATTGGAGCGCAGAAAGTTCGCGGGTGGAGCGGGTGTGCAGCGCCTGCGTCCTGCGGCGAGCGGGCGGACTAGCGGCGGCGTTGCTGGCGGGAGCGGCTGCAACGCCGGTGCCTGAGGAGCGATGCCGAGGGAGATCATCACCTTACAGTTGGGCCAGTGCGGCAATCAGAGTGAGCGACCCTCCGGCCCGTCCGCTCGCCGGGTTGCTGAGGTTCCGTGGGATCCGCCGCCCTTCCCAGAATCGTAATTCTGCGAAAGGCGGGACGTCCCTGACCCAGGGTCCGGTTGCCCTACCCCGAGGGGCCCTCCTTGCCCGGTCGCGAACGTGCAGCCCTTTTCCCCACACACGGGCGAGTCCTCACGCTGACCCCTGTTCCCAGGCGCTCGGTCCCCCAGCTGGCAATCGGAACCTGCCCAGACCCACATATCCTGTTTCTTCCCCCAGTTGGGTTCGAGTTCTGGAAACAGCTGTGCGCCGAGCATGGTATCAGCCCCGAGGGCATCGTGGAGGAGTTCGCCACCGAGGGCACGGACCGCAAGGACGTCTTTTTCTACCAGGTGCCCCCGGCGGCTGGGCCAGGACCCCGGGGGCCTGAAGGGACGGGGCAGGGGCTGGTGCTGGGGAGCCCGCTGGGCACAGGGCCCCGCGGCTGGCTCGGGGAGGGAGGCCCGGCAGGAGCCCGAGTGGGACTGGACTGGGGCCTGGGCCGGCGGTGGCGCCGGCTGACGGGGCCGCCCCTTCCCGGCCTCTCGCTGGCAGGCCGATGATGAGCACTACATCCCGCGGGCCGTGCTGCTGGACCTGGAGCCCCGGGTGATCCACTCCATCCTCAACTCTCCCTACGCCAAGCTCTACAACCCGGAGAACATCTACCTGGCTGAGCACGGAGGAGGAGCTGGCAACAACTGGGCCAGTGGATTCTCCCAGGTCATTTGCTATTCCCTGGCACCACCTACAGCTCCCTACGTGGGGAGAAGCCCTGTGACTTCCCAGAGAGATGGAGAAAGACCAGGGATGTGTGAGCGCTGGAGGGAGAGAGACACAGGCTATGGGGTTAAACGTGTGACACAGGTATCATGAGGAGCAGCCGTAGTCCTACCTGCCAGGCTCTTCCAAGCGCTTTCCATGTGCTTGGTTATGTAAAGCTCCCAGCACCTCCAGAGATGGGCACTACAGGCCCACAGCATGTGATCTGCCTTTCCGGAATCCAGAAAACTCAGAAAGTGCAGGTTTATAACTCACTTAGCAGCAAAAAACATACCTCAGTGGAAACAGGCTATTTTATAGGGTTTTTAAAAAATGTATTTGGGCCGGCGCCACAGCTCAATAGGCTAATCCTTCCCCTGCGGTGCCGGCACCCCATCCGGGTCCCAGTCGGGGCACCGGATTCTGTCCCGGTTGCCCGTCTTCCAGGCCAGCTCTCTGCTGTGGCCCGAGAAGGCAGTGGAGGATGGCCCAGGTCCTTGGGCCCTGCACCCGCATGGGAGACCAGGAGAGGCACCTGGCTCCTGGCTTCGGATCAGTGCGGTGCACCAGCTGCAGCGTGCCAGCCACAGCGGCCATTGGAGGGTGAACCAACGGTAAAGGAAGACCTTTCTCTCTCTCTCCCTCTCTCTCTCACTGTCCACTCTGCCTGTCAAAAAAAAAAAAAAATGTATTTGAAAAGCAGAGTATCATTGAGAGATGGGTAGAGAGAGATCTTCCATCCACTGATTCATTCCCCAAATTGCCCCAACAGCCATAGCTGGGCCAGACGGAAGCTAGGAGCCAGTAGTGGGAGGGAGATACCAAGATCTTTCCTGTGGTTCACTCCCCAGATGGTCACAAACAGCCAGGGCTGGTCCAGGCTGAAGCTAAGAGCCAGGAACTCCACCCTGGTCTCCCGCGTGGTGTCAAGGGCCCAACTGCTTGGGCCCTCATCTGCTTTCCCAGGCACATTAGGAGGAAGCTGGATGGGAAGCAGAGCAGCTGAGACTGCGGGATGCTGGGTCGCAGGCAGAGGCTTGGCCCACAGCACCACAACGCTGGCCCCAGTTCCAAAGACTGTAGATAAGGGCCTGTGGGCCTGTGTTACTCCTTCCATTGTATAGGTCCAGAAATGGGCAGAGTAACCTGCCCGGAGTCACTTAGCTGCATGGGACAAGAGGTAACGTGTGAACCCAGGTAATCAGAGTGGAGGACTTGTGACCTCCGTGCTGTGTAGCCTCTCGAGGCAGGTAAAAAGGCAGCTGCGCTCCCGAAACAGACTCGGTGGTACCGGAGGGGAACTGAGGATGGCTGCTGTGTGAGCGGTGTTGTCCCTCAGTCCTGTGCACGCTGACCCTCCCCGTGTCTGCACAGGGAGAGAAGATCCACGAGGACATCTTTGACATCATAGACCGGGAGGCGGATGGCAGTGACAGTCTGGAGGTGAGTGTCGCAGGAGAGCCGGTGGGAAGGCTCGGTAGCACCCTGACGAGCCCCTGTTGGGCACAAGACCCACGTGTGTGCCCTCTGCACTGGACAGAAGCCACGGGCCTTCCCGAAGACAAGGCAGAGTCCCCCAAGCTGTAAGGGCACTGGAAGGAAAGGGAGGGCTTGAGAAGATAGGAATCCAAGAAATGATGGGATGGATCAAGTTTGAAATCCTGGACTCCGCCCCTTCTTCACGCAGGGCTTCGTGCTGTGTCACTCCATCGCTGGGGGGACAGGCTCTGGCCTGGGCTCCTACCTCTTGGAACGGCTGAATGACAGGTAGGAGCCCGAGAGGCCCTGCGGGGAAGCCTCCCCGTCCGCTGCAGCGGGCAGAGCCTTGCTGTGTTTAGTGAGGAGAGTGGAGCCACTGTTGAGAACCCAACTGCACTCCCAGCAGTGGGTAGAATCTGGGCCCTGGCCGAAGGTCCAGAGGGTGTGGCCAGGTTGGGAGTTGGAACCCTAGGCACCAGGGTGTCTCTCTGCCCTTCCTCCTTTCGGGCTGCAGGGTTTCAATGTCAAGTCTCCCTTCTCTGTGTCTCGGGACCCCATCTGCTTCCCTGTGGACCAGTAGCGGCGTCGATCTGTTGCGTGGATACTCTGTTCCTGCCCCCCTCAGGTACCCCAAGAAGCTGGTGCAGACCTACTCGGTGTTTCCCAACCAGGACGAGATGAGCGACGTGGTGGTCCAGCCCTACAACTCGCTCCTCACACTTAAGCGGCTGACTCAGAATGCGGACTGCGTGGTGAGTCCTGGTGTCTACTTGTCCCCACTCCCAACCCCTGTCCATTTAATCACTTTCGTGTATTTAAAATGTCTGTTATGTCTCATCAAAGTGGCATGTACCAATGCCATCTCACTAGTCAAAGTGATCAGTTTCAGTTCATAATTGATCATAATGATAGGATTAAGTGTCTAGGGGTCACATAAATAAGACTAGTGTCTGCTAATACTAACTGATAGAATTAAAAAGGAGAGAATGATCCAACATGGGAAGCGGGATACACAGCAGACTCATAGAATGGCAGATGTCCTCAACAGCACTCTGACCTCAGAATCAGCCCTTAAGGCATTCAGATCTGGCTAAAAAGCCCATGAGAGTGTTTCAGGCATAGAAAGCCAAGACACTCTGGCAAAAAAAAAAAAACCTAAATGAAAGATCTCTGTGAGTGAGATCCCAGCAGAAAGAACAGGCCATCAAAGAAGGAGGTACCTTTCTCTGAAGGGAGGAGAGAACGTCCACTTTGACTATGGCCTTGTCTAAATAAGATAGGAGTTGGCGAACTCAAGAGGCTTCCATAGCCTTGGCAACTCATGACAAGAGCCTCGGGTGATTACTGATGCCATAAACAAGAGTGTCAATTGTTAATTCAATAACAGGAGTCACTGTGCACTTACTCCCCATGTAGGATCTCTGTCCTTAATGTGTTGTACTATGTGAGTTAACTGTATAACTAGTACTCAAACAGTACTTTATACTTTCTGTTTCTATGTGGGGGCAAACTGTTGAAATCTTTACTTAATATATATAAATTGATCGTCTGTATATAAAGATAATTGAAAATGAATCTTGATGAAGAATGGGATGAGAGAGGGAGTGGGAGATGGGATGGTTGTGGGTGGGAGGGTGGTTATGAGGGGGAAAGCTGCTATAACCCAAACATTGTACTTTGGAAATTTATATTTATTAAATAAAAGTTAAAAAAAAGTCTGTTTTGAGGTGGTTGGGCATTCAGCCTGCTGGTTAGATGCTTGTGTCCCACACCGGAGCTCCTAGGGTCAGTGCCCGGCTCCAGCTCCAGCTCCTGCTGATGCAGACCCTGAGAGGCAGCCGTGACGGCTCAGGTAGTTTAGGTTCTTGCCCCCACGCAGCGTTGGCCTCAGCAGTTGCAGACGGAAGCTCTCTGCTCTCTGCCTCTCAAGTAAATACTTTATTAGAATGCCCGCTTTGAGCCTTTCTGTGCCTTTTTAGTGTGCATTTCTGACCATGTGTGCAAGATCCTTTTTGATGGGCCTTTCTGGAAATGAAACGCAAGGTCTCAGGGCCCAGGCTCAGGCAGGGCTCCTGATTCTCCCATCCCCATACATCTGCCACCCTCGTCTGTCCCCTCCAGGTGGTGCTGGACAACACAGCCCTGAACCTGATAGCCACGGACCGCCTGCACATCCAGAACCCATCCTTCTCCCAGATCAACCAGCTGGTGAGCCCACCTCTGCACTCCTTCCCACTGGAAGCCCTCCTTGAGGGAGGACTGTCGGGGGAGGGGGGAGGGGTCCTACCCAGGCCAGGCCCATGACACAGCACCCCTGTCCCCAGGTGTCCACCATCATGTCAGCCAGCACCACCACCCTGCGCTACCCCGGCTACATGAACAACGACCTCATCGGCCTCATCGC